TATGAACAATGATAAAAGTCACCTGTTAATTCTGTTATTATTTTTTTTCTCATCCAATTGTTAATATTGTTTTTCTTTATCCAAATGGTATCCTAGATAATTTCCTAGATAATTTTGTATCGTAGGATAATGTGCGTCGAACCGTACGCCGAGAGAGAACCTCGTGTTTCACCGAAATCCACCATATGCGTATTGGATTTTCGGCACCGTTGGTTGGGGAGGAACGAACAACGTTTCGATTCGATGCCGTTCCATTGGTAGAATTCGCCGGCGGCATAAATTATCGAACTGTAAGGACGAAATCGTCCTGACGGAACGAGGCCCTCACGTTTGAAACAGTCGAAAGGGACGAATTACGCTTGAAGAGTTATTCTCGGATTAGTCCGCAGTTGCATTTAATACGTACCTAAACGTAAACTGATAAATCGTTGGATATATATATGGGTGTGTGTGTGTGTGTGTTTGTACACGTGTATATATATATATATGTATATAAAATATAGATTTCATCGATTCACTCCAATTCCACCTCACCTTTTCCTAAACCTACTGTCAATCCCCACAATCCATCCCTTCACCCCCTTCCGTCCGAATCCCATACGATTTTCTCGTTATTCCATTTCATGTTATTGAAATTTTTATTCGGTCCATCGTAGAGAAAATTTCCATTGACTATTAGGTCGTTTTAATAATAGAACAACTACTATCTCGTTTTGTTCATATAGGGAATACTGAAAAGAAGAAACAGAAATCACCGAAAATATGGTTATCGTAAAGGTCTCTGCAATATGGGAAATCTGGTTTGTTCGTGGAAACGGCAAAGGCGAATAACGACATATCCACTGTTTTCAACGTGCCCGACGAAGCATATTGCGGGAGGATATGCGCGCTTCTTATTCTAGAAACGACGTAGAAGGGAAGAAAGAGTGAGAGAGAGAGAGAGAGAGAGAGATAGAGGAAGTGAATAGCAAGGAATGTAGATTGCGAAGAAAAGTAGCTTCTATAACGTCAACCTTTATGTAACGGCCATTGTCAGGTGACGACATTCGAGTTCAATGCAAACGCCGCTACGATCCTTACCTCCCTCTCTCCCTCATTCTCTCTCGCTCTCTCTCTTTATATCAATCTATCTTTATCTATCTCTCTTTCTATCTCTATCTCTGTGTCTTATCATCTCAGTGAATTTTAGTGTTGTTGAATAAAACGAGTACGTAGCGTTCTTAACGCAGTAGAATAGAATTCGGACGATATTAAAAATTAATGGTAGGAGGGTGTAAAGTGTTAAAGAGGGGGGAGAAGAAGTGATAGGGATGGAGATGGTGGGAAGATCACGAAAGATTGTTCGTTAATTTGAAATCATGATTAGAATGCTTTTTTTAATCTCTTTTTTCTCAAAACAGAAGGAGTGAGAGGGAGAGAGAGAGAGTAATGGATCATACAGGAGTGTCGGTACGCTTTCTTTTTCTCTTTTTTTTTTATTCCTTATTTCTCTTTTTTTGTGTTTCGCATTTTTTTTTTCTTCTTTACACATCCTTCGAGAAGATGAAGCCGTCGCGTAATTACTGGCCTCGTTAGGCCGAGTCCCTGGTCCCGGTGTGTCGGTGCGACTCGTATTTAATTAGCAGCGTTATCGTCGCGTAACTCGACTCACCTCGTATAAGCCGCTTTATTAGAGACCTCACGAATTTCTTTTTCCTTTTTTTTTTGTTTCTTTCTTTCTTTTCTTTTATTCCCTTTTTTTCCATTTTTTTTCTTTCTTTCCTTCTTTTTCATATTCGCCGTGTCGACGAACAAAATCTCTTATTTATTTCGCTTTATAATAAACATCATTATCGTCGTTCTCGATATCGACTTAAGACACGATAAGTCTTAAAATAATTTTAACGAAGTATGCATCTTTACCGCGTCTCAATAAATCAAAATTTTTCTTTTATTTTTTTTTTTTTTTTTTTGATTTATCATCTTAACATACAACGGCAAAAGAGAAAATGATCCATGGGTTGATTTGGGTTGGGTGGACAAGGGGGGTAGGTGGGATGAGGAGGAGAGAGCTTGGAGATCACATACGTTCCGTTGTCGAACGGCCCACTATCCTAGCTCTTGATCTTATGCTACCTTAATTATTTCGTTCGCGCAACTGCATTATGTAACTGAAACGGCGTGTTACATTCGATCTGAAACGATGTCTATCCAAGATGCCAGCTCTCGTGGACGTGTAATTAATCGCACGGCCGTGTCGTAATATCACGAGAGAGCCATGCGGTTACATGCCGGCACTTCGCGGCAATATGCCACGTTGGAAAGAGGTGGTCCTTTTGATCTCGAGTCCTCTCTGATGTCAATAACATTAAGCGAGAATACGCTTGCTCTTTCTCTCTCTATCTCTATCTCTATCTCTCTTTTTCGATCTCTCCCTCTGTCTTTCTATCTCTGTCTCTCTATCTCTTTTTCTCTTTCTCTCTCTTCTCTCCTTCGTGTTTCTCTTTCCTCACTATCTTCGTGGTACACGACAGTCTTCAGAACTTTCGTGCTCAGCTTACATCGTATCCACTGGTGTCCACTTTTCGGAAATAGCTAGACCACGATTTACGAGCTTTTCTCCATGTAAAAGGAGAAAAAGTAAAATAACATTGACACCGGGGAAAATCTTTGTCCGTATATCTAGCACATGTTATAATCCTCTTTGGGAAAAATAAGAAATGAAAAGTAAAAGAAAGAATAAGAAACAAGAGGAAAAAAGAAAGAAAAAAAAGAGACGAGAAGAAAAAAAAGAAAATTAGTCGCTTTTGAAAAATTAATCCCATCGAATAATTCGTACCCTTCGTGTACATTATCCATACATTTTGTATTCTCAAGATAACTGTCTTGGGTTATTTTTGCATGAAAAAAGAAAAAAAGAAAGAAAAAAATAAATGAAAAAAGGAGGAAGGAAAAATAAGAGAAAGAAATATCGGATGAAAAAAAAAGGGAATAGGAAGGTTAGGGTTCGATGTAGGAAGTATTTTGTGAAGAAGCAAAAGGTATCCCTGGTATACGGCGCCTATGATGGTACCTGGACCGAGTATCCCCTGCGTTCCACTTACTCAGGAGAACCGGTTTATCTCTCTTAGTCTCCTTTTGCTTCCCTCGTACAGTATATAGACACTATATATATATATATATATATATATATATATATATATATCCTCTGTATGTGTGTGTGTGTCTTGTGTATACATATTGTATATATACACACACATTATACCACACAAAATATGCATACCCATATCGTAGCGTTTATTGTTGTTCCTCGTACTTCCCTCTCGTTTCATGATTCCGTTCGTTCGTTCGTTCGTTCGTTCGTTCGTTCGTTCGTTCATTTCTTCCTTCCTTCCTTCCTTTCTTAAATCAGAGATAGAGAGAGAGAGAGAGAGAGAGAGAGAGAGAGAGTGAGGAGAGAAGAAGAAGAGGAAGAAGAAGAAGGGTCACAGTTCCTCTTAGTCTTCTCTTCTTCGCCATTTTCCCAAGCAATCTCGAAAGTTTCAAGAGTCTTGTCCGAATGAACCGTGACCGTTTCGTCGGTGTTAGTTTGTCATCGTTCGCGAATCTCCTACGACCACCCTTGATCCCCTCCTTTCTAGCTTGGAATCGAAAGCGAGAAACGAAGGTGAATTGGACGCCCGTATTTATCGGTTACGAGGTACTGAACGTCGTTCTGCTATCGTGAAATACTATGGTTATATTCGGTCTACGTCGTCGTCGTCGTCGTCGTCGTCGTCGTCGTTGTGTTGTACGATGTAGAATGAAAGCAACGGACCGACGGAATATCCGCACGAAACGGCTTTTCGAACCAATCGGAATTGAAGGGTAAGATTGAACGTAGTAGAATCAAACTGTGGAGGAGACTCTCATAGGATCTACGTAGTTTAACACTTTTACGTTGGTATCCTAAGGAAACTGTTTCTTTCTCGATTCTTTCCTTACAAAAGGGAAAAGATTTATATAGAAAATCGAAGAATAAATGGTAACCACAAATTGATCATTCTCATTAAATCGTTTATTTATCGATCTGTATACAATTGTTATATATTCGAAGATAATACGAGTTTTGATCCAATCATTGTTGTCTATAAAATATATTATTATATAAAGTAGCACGATGAATAAAGAATACGAATTGATTAAATAATAAATTGTTTATTTACTTATTAACATGTGTATTTAGATACTCGAAGATATGGGATCGGATAAATTAAAAGATAAACGATACGATTGTATATCTATTTATCCATCTATCCATCTATCGATTTTTTAAAAAGAATAAATAAATAATTGATCGAAGATTTTATTATTTATTAAATTATTTATTTACACACACATGCACACATATATATATATATATATATTTATGTATATCTTTCAATGCTTTTAGAAATACAGGAACGAATAAATTACAAGATAACTCGTAGAGAACAGATACACGAGATCGTATATTCAATTTTGTAGAATGCGATAAAAACACGCGTTTCATTTCGCAAAGACTTTTCCGAAGTAGTTCGGAAAATCGTTTGTTTACTCCCTCCCTCCCACTTCCCCGATCCCATAGAGGATATCTAAGCGTTTATGTCGACGTATCGTAGACCCTCTTCGCGTGTTTTCTATACTTCTTTTCACCAAGAAGAATGGTAGTGGGTGGAGGAGGGGTAGGAGACGAGTCTTTAACGACGAGCTAGAGCCAGGTTACGGTATATCGATCGTTGAGATCGATCGTGAAACTAGTCAGGTATTCATTATCTTTATTGCTATATATACTTGGTATATCGATCACTTTTAGAATAGCGTACCGTTAAGGCTCTGTCGCGACTCACAATGCCCTACTATTTTCTAAGAAAACTTATGCAGCCATCGGGATAGTTTCTCTTTCAAGGTCACTCCTATTATCTTCTCATAGCTATAAGTATCTAAGAGATCATTCCTTCCTTTGCAGTTTTTTTTGTTTTTTTTTTTTTTTTTTTTTTTTGTTGTTCGTTTGTTGGTTTTTTCTTCCTTTTTTCTTTCTTTTCTTTTTTCTAATCATAGAACCGTGCATCTACGCTTGCCAATCTCTATAATCATAACGACATACAATACAACGTATTAAGGATAATAAGATGGAAGAAGGATGATGATGATGCAGTCGAAGGTCTGAGGTTCATGAGTTATTTAAAAGTTCATTAAAAGAAATAACTCCGATGACGAGAGCGACGACCAATATTGTTAATCGATTTGAAGAGAAGAGAAAGAAATAAAGAAGACAAAAAAAATATTCTCTTTAACTTTACCTTATATAATTTTATTTTTTCAAATCACTTCATTCACGATCATTTTGTTTATAGGGGCGGGGAGGGGGAGGAATCTTCAACGTTCTACTGTCACGTCGAATATCAACGCGTTCGTCTGTCTCCTGTGTGCCTGTCTATTTGTGTGTTTCCCGTCGTTGTCGTTTCTTATTTTTTTTTTCTTTCTTTTTGTTCTTCTTTTTCTTTCTTTCTTCTTTTTTTTTTTTTCTTTTCTCGTTAAATCTGTCGTTCGTTTTTTCACGATATGCAAGGAATAATTTAACGGTACCGTCTTCTAAAGGTCTATAAAGCACGATAAAGCGGACGGGATATAAATAACTCTCGAACAATCCGCATTCTACTTGCAAAACTTGGTAAAGATAAAACTTTCAATGAAACGAGGTGGGTTACTCTCGTTGGATCCTCCACCCTTTTTCCTTCCTTCCTTCCTTCCTTCCCTCCCTCCCTCCCACTTACCCTCCCTCTTTCTTCTTCTCTTCCACCTTTTCGCAGTCTAGATATATACTTACTTATAAGTTTCTTCCACGAATCGTTACGTCGATTACGAAACTAGCTCGCCCGAAGAAGATAACCGTGTGTACGGAGAACAAACTTTTCCGTCTTGTATCTTGAATCAAGGCGCAACAAGGTAGATAAGCTAGGGTATATACCTTTACATGCGTATATACGTGTGGGCTGTGTATGTGTGTATGTTTGTATATCACCTGTAGTTAGGCGATGGTATACGTATATAAGTAAATACGTAAATACTTAAATACATTATACATACATAGATATATACATACGTGTGTGTATGTGTGTGTGTATATATATATAAGTTGTAGTAATAATAATACTACTAATTTTTTGCGTTTGCGTATACTACAGATGATACACAGAAAGGAAGAGAGAGAGAGAGAGAGAGAGAGAGAGAGAGAGAGAGAGAGATCACGGTGATATATCTACACACGCAAATGAACAAAAGTGAAAGAGTGTAAGTGTGAAATATAGAAATAGACAGAGAGGGAGAGAGAGAAGATGCGTGCCTTTACCTCGTCGTCTTCGTGCAACGAGCCAACTCGTTTTCACAACCTTATCGCTTTACTTATCTGCAAGACCTCGTTGCAATCAAGTAACGGAACTTTGATATCACCCGGTAGGATTGGAATATTGATATCGCTTTACGGGACACACACATGTGCTCTTTAGCTTTCTTCGAATCTGAAATCTCTATACATTGCTTAAGAAGAAATGTAAACATAAAATTGGAAAAAGAGAGAGAAAGAGAAAAAGTTTTCGTGTAACTTCATTAATGGAATTTTATGGTTTTGTCTAATCGTTCAATATGATCTATTAAATGAAATTGTATGATTATAAAAGGAATTTTTGAAGCGTTTAAACGAAATAGTTTTCTCCTTTTTTTCTTTTTTTTTTTTTTTTATTTCTTTTTTATTTTAAATAAAATGTTTATTTTATCTCTTGGTAACACCTCGTTTTATTTTATATATATTTAATATATAATTATACAGAAAGTATATATTTTTATCCTCAATAAATTAGATTAGAAAGTATCTTCGATCGATAACGAAGGGATCTATAAATAGAAACTTCAAAGAGGGAAAGTTAGAAGGAAGGATTATAAAACTGTAACAGAGAAATTCACTTCTACGACATGGTAATTAGAATGAACGTTCAAATGTCATGTTATTTTAACTTGAACGTCTTTTATTTGACAATATAGATTATATAAATATTGTTTTCGTATCGTTTAAAACTTGATTCATTCGTCCAATCATTCGTAGTATAGATATGACGTCAGTTGTTTTGTCTATCGTTAGAATGAGTCACGTTGTCATAATCTCGAATTCTCGAAAGACATTTTAAAAATTGCATTCCAATAGATTTTTCTTTTTCTTTCTTTTTTTCTCTTTTTCTTTTTTTTTTCTTTTTCTTCAATCTCCCTTCCTCCTCCTTCTCCTCCTCATGAAATTATCATTACTTATAGTCGAAATAGCGAACGTATGAAAAAAAGAAAAAAAGAATAGGTACTACACGTGTGTAGATAATTTTAATCTAATTCGTTTCACGTTAGATTACATTAAGTTTCTTTATTAAATAAAGAAATAATTAATATTGAATTATCGTTGTGCAATATCAATTTGATCGCCTGTCAGATTTTATTAAGTCTATTGGTCAAACATTTGGGTAGCGTATAAATAGAAGTGACGTTTTGCGACCAATAATATTTCATATATCGTTGTCAAGCCTTAACACCGTAATTTGTTTTCTGTTATAGGTAAGCAGAGACGAGCGATACAAACGGCATTATACGAGTACCAATGGGATCGTCATAGAAGTTACGAACGATCTTACGAATTCTCTCTATCGGTGCATCAATGAGCTTTCCTGCATTCTCATCCAAGGTTTACCCAAAATTTAACGTATTATCGATTCGTAGTTCTATCGAGGAAGGTCACGTTTTGATTCGATTTGAAGAGAGAATCCCGAAGTGAGATCACACTTTTTCATTTACATTTTTATTTTTATTTTTATTTTCACATTCATGATCATATTCATATTCGATATTTTTCATTGAAATTTCGAAGGGAAAGAAAAAGAGAAGGAAAAGAAAATAGAAAAAAGAAAAGAAAGGAAAAGAATAGAAGAAATGTGAATTTATACGTATACGTCGAGAAAATACGTAAAAAAAAATCGAAAGAACGTAATTTTTTTTAAACGCAACCATAAAAAATCGGCGTATATGATTATTATTTATTACATTAATATGATATTTCATTTGCATTAAATACGCATCGCAATACACTTAAAAATCGTTAGTTAAAAATTTCTCTGATAACCGTGCACCGTAACGAGGGTGTGTGTGTGTGTGTAAGAGAGAGAGAGAGAGAGAGATCGAAAGAGAGAAGAATGAGAAATCGGTATTGTTTATGAATCAAAATAACGTTTTCATGGGAAATCGATTCAGGATTATCCAAAACGTCGGATAATATTCTTTCGTGCGTATTTTCGAAAGCTGGCTTTGCAGCGCAGCCAAAAATATCGTTTATATGCGACAGAAATTCGTTTTTCTCTCCTTCCCCCTCTCCTTTTTCTCTCTCTCTCTCTCTCTCTCGTACTCTATCGATTCTATATACACCATAGCACATTTGGACGGTCGCGTACGTACGTACGTACATTGGTGGGCTAACTGACGGGACAAAAATGACGAGTAGAGCGAAAAGGAAAGGCCAACGAGCGATGAAAACGAGCGAACAACGTAGGCCGATGATCGATGCACCGCAAACGATCAATAGTCCGATATGGGATTTAAATCGGGAGAAATCGTTTAACGGTTCCTCGGAGAGAGTCCGTTCTATGATGTCGTTGACAGTGCAATGTCCAACGGATTTCATGTAAAAACCCCGCAAACCCCTAGCTGCCTGATGTACATGTGGTACCTACATACTACATATTCGCCATTTTATTAGCGATACTTCCACGAACTTCCTTTTCATTTATCGGGAGATTTATTCGAGATATTCCAGGATGCATACCGTAGACTACCGCAACATCAAAGAAAAAATTTTATGAAACGTCTGAGTGCTCATTTATCCTGCATATATTCGATAATTTTTGGATTCATTAATCACTTCAAATTCGTGCTTATATTCTTACTTTTCTTTTTTTATTTTTATCTTTTTCAAAAGCTGTTAAAAAAAATAAATAAATAAAACAATCAAATGCGATGTATATTCAAGATGACAAAAGGAGAAGTAACGCGTTTTCATCCCCCTTCGACAGCCCAAACACACCCACCCACCTCACTCATCCCTCCTGTTATATCATAGGGCATCGTGTTCGTTGCATTAAATATCGTCATGGATTTATCACCGGCGAGATAAGGGCCATTCTTTATCGGTGTATTCATGGTAGAAAGATGGACGTTCCGAAGGTAGCACCGTAGACTTTCCTTATTTATTATTGATCGAGCATCTTCATTCTACGTTGTAGAAGAGGAAAGAGACTGGTGTGCCTTACCGGCACTTTTGTATCGAATGTTCTCCTCTCCTCTCCTCTCCTCTCCTCTCCTCTTCACTCCTCTTTACTCTTCTCTTCTCCTCTCCTTTGCTCTCTTTTCCCGCCCACTCGTTCTCCATGTATCCGTTTCTATGCGTAGTACGTAGATACGTACTACGTGCATTTGTGTTTGTACGTGTTCTGAAAGTACGCAGCCGGAGGAAGAAAATCCCGAAGTGATTTATTATTGAACGTGAGCTAGGTTTTATCTTAGAAACATTGAGAGGAATATATTTGCTTTCGACGTTAATAGTTGGTCTTGCATCAGAAAAAGAGAAAAAAAAATAATAATGAAGTTCCTCTTTTTTATTTTTGTATTTTTTTTTTTTTTACTTATTTTCTTTTTTCTCTCTCTCTCTCTCTTTTTTTAATTTTATTACTTCTTTTCTTTTTTTTTTTTCTATTTTTGATCTTAATTCTAAAATAGATAACATCTATTTTATTTGACAAACGACATTGGAATTTTTCATTTATTTATTTATTTTTGTTATTACTTTACGATAACGTGAAAATAAAATTCAAGCAATCGTGTGAACTGCCGAATACGTGTTATATATATATATATATATATATATATATATATATATATATATATATATATATGCGTAAATTAGTCTCGTATGAAGAAAGAGAAAAGAAAAAGAAAAACACATCAGGTTTCTCATTTCTATTTTTTATTCTATTTTATCTTTTGCTTTAATTCCTCATGATATAACTTATAGTTAAGAGACGATTCTACGTTTGGATTCGTTGGAATCTCTTTCTTTCTTATTTTTTTTCTTTTTTCTTTTTTCTTTTTTTCTTTTTAATAATGCGGAAATAAAATTCAAGCAACCTCATGGAACGTCGAATGCATGCAACAATGTATCTATGTGTATATGTTTGTATGTATGTATGTATGTAACCACGATTACATGGTTCGTACATACGCACAGATATCGAACTACACCCAGGCCACGACTCGCGAAGTTCTAAGGCGATTTATCGAGGGATTATGAGCTAACGTCTCGTATCACGCAGTCGGTTATCCGACGTGCAGGATCGTTGGTCAAGGGGTTGGAGAAAGAGAAGCCTGGGGAAGGAGCACTTTACCACCCCGAACCCGGGGAGTAAACGTACCGATAAATTCACCGAGATGAATGGACGTTTAGAGGTTTATATGGTGTATGGGGCTCGTTTGAAAAATGGTCTCATTGCGCCGTTTTCACTTTTACCTAGCTGCTCTTCGCGGATTCATCTTATAAGGATTTAATATTGATTACAGATAACACTTTTTATTGTTATTAAATAGATATTATTATTATCATCGTTATTATTATTATTATTATTATTATTCAACGAAATAATATTAGAATATTTTATAGGGGATATGATCAAAGGAAAAAGAAAAAAAAAAATATATATATATATATATATATATATATATAAATAATATTTATTTTCGATCATGTTGAATTACTTTGCTTTTTCATTTTTCATTTTTTTATCTTTTTTTTTTTTCA